AACCACGGTGTCACCGCCGAGTGCAATGGCCTGGGCCTGACCTCTCGTGCCCTTCCCGGCAGCACTGGTGCTGAGAGCGCAGGGGCCTGACCGAGCACCCTGCGGACGCTGCGAACAGATGAACCCTCCTGGGCGAGATGCGGGCAGTGACCATCCTCGCCCTGGAACCTCTGAAGAGCAATCCCACAGAAAGATGGCAGAAAGGGAGAACACGGGGGGACCAGGGGTGTCCGAGCCCTGACCACTGACCACACAGGAGCAGCCACAGGACAGAGCGAGCTGGACAGCGCAGTGGGCGGTGACGGAGCTGGCCACGCTGGCGTCCCAGGTTCCTCGCTATCCACAGCCCATCTGCACTCTGACCCCCACACGCTGCCCATTCATCCCCAAACCTGCCATGAAACGTTTTTAAACTCACTTAAGGTTTTAGAAATTACTTCAAATCACACGCTTGCTTAAAACCGTCGGGACTCACGGCGATGGTTATCTTTCAAGAGTGACGACAACCGTAAGGGGCGCAGGTTCGGGGGCTTCTTGGGTGCTGGTCCTGTCGGTGTCTCGTTCTGGGCGCAGGTAACGGGTGTGTCCACTGGGTGAGCATCTACAACATGTGTCTATTATACACCAAGAAGGAGTTAAAAGACATATGTCCTCCTGCTTTTGAGGGGAAGATTGCCAGATCTACTCAGAAAATGCACACAGACTCCAATTTCTAAAGGGCGGGGTGTCCCCAGAGCCCAGGTGTGCACCGCAGGGCTAGGCAGGCGGGGCTGGAGTCCTGGGTGCCCCTGACAAACGTCACCCGGAGGATCAGGAATTTACTGTCATGGCAACGGACGCCTGCATCCAAGCGATGGCCCGGTGTCTCCAGAAGGAATTCGGGCGCATTCCAAGGCGATGGCCCTTGGTCACGCCAGCTCCTCAGACGGAGCCTGAGGGCCGATAACCTTGTGCCGCCTCCACTTCAGCACAGGTTCAGGTTTCCTGACCTGCCTGGCATTTGGGGGTATCTGGGGTCACCCAGGCCTGCAGGCCCGCGTGGCGGCTGGAGCTCTCCTCTGCCCACCGCGCCTTCCCCTCCCTGCACAGGTAAGGTCCCAGGCAGCCCCCTGCACGCTAGCCTCTGCCTCAGAGGCCGCTTCCAGGAGACCCAGCCTGTGACAGGCGGCTGATTAGTGTCCTTTCTCCTTAGAAAGGAGGAGAGGCCCCGTGCAAGGAAGACGAACGTGCGGAGGAAAAGGCAGGAAAGATTACACAAAAGCACCCCGTCCTCCTCCCTTCCTCTGCACTGTAAACAGTGGTGCTTAAGCAGAAGCCATATGGCACCGGCGGCTTCCCCCGAGAGCGAGGCCAGGAAGGCGGGAAACCCGAGGACGTTCTCCTCGCAGCATCTAGTCTGTCCTGAACTCTTTCCTCGTGGACAGAAGGACACAGAGACCACAAAGGACTCCCGGAGAAGGACGAGGGGGGAGAAACGCCCCCGTAGGACCAGGTTGTCATGAATCCACAAGGACGGCCACAGAAAGTGCCAGAAGAGTCCGCGGTGACCACTGATCAATAACTGGAAACCTAGGTGTCCTCAGACTCAGTGTCCTCAAAGGTGGGGATTCCCGAGTTCATGCACAATGTCAAGTACCCACAGGACACCTGTGTCTGCCCCAGGAAGGGCCTCCATACCCACCCCACCCCCCCCACACACACACACATACACTTTGCTCTGCTTCTGGCTAGAACAACGACATCGATTGATCGAGACGGTGCCTTACCCTGACTCTCTGGCAAGAGCCGTGTCTGCAGATATTCTTCTATGTGAAGTACAAGCTCATCATTATCTAACAACTGCAGTGTGCGGGGCAGACCAAGTCTTTCCAATGACCCCAGATCTGGGGAAGGGAAGGCGAGCCCCTCGGCCAGCCCAGCCTCCTTGTCCCACAGATGGGGGAGGCCTGGAGGAGAGCAGGGTTCGCTCAAGGCCCCCCGGTGGGGCTGGGCCCAGAGCCGACTGCCGGATGCTCAGAGGACAGACGGCCTATGCCACCCGGCCAGTCACACAGAGCGATGGAAGCTGCCACCAGGCATGGGCAGGCCCTCTCCTCCATGCTGGGCAGTGGGGTTCCCGGCACAGGCTCCACAGAGAGCCACCGGGCAGCAGGTGAAGGGCACACAGCCCCCAGCCCCGCAACCCCACCCCCGGGAGTTTATCCCACAGCTCCGCATGCACCTCACAGACGGCCCCTTTAAAGGCTCGCCGGGGGCGCTGCTTACGTGACCCGGGGCACATGCCCATGGCGGTGACTGAGCCAACTCCACACATGCCAATACGGGGCAACTGCCAACACACCGCTCAGGGGCAAAGGCAAAAAGCAGACGACAGCATGCCACCACCGTCACGGGCCAAGATACGTATTTTCATTATACCCAGCCAGAAACAGGGGAGGAGAGAAGATTAATAATTCACCGTACGCATCTTTACGTCTTTGGAACTTTCTACATGTGAATAATGCAGTCAAGAAAGCAAACGATTCCCTTCACATGAAATATCCAGAACAGGTAAATCTAGGCAGAGAGCAGCGTGGTGGCTCCGGGGGCTGGGAGAGAGGGGCGGAGGGGCAGCAACAGCTCTCCGGGGGCCGGGCTTCCTTTGGGGGCGATGAAATGCTTGGGAACTGGGGAGAGGTGGCGCTTGCACAACATGATGAACGTACTAAATGCCACCGACGTGTTCACTTTAAAATGATTTTGTTACGTAATATTCACCCCAATTTTGAAAAAGCCATAAAAATGAATGAATGAATGGGGTTTTCACAGGTGACCTTGGGGGAGCAGCTTGGCAATGCTGTGAGAGGCGTGGCGCTGGCGGCTGAGGGGGGAGGGGGGGGGGCTCCCATCCCCCACACCCGGCACCACCCAGGAGACCTCGGGGACATAACGGAGCCTCGCTGAGCTTCGGTCTCCTCCTCAGTGCAGTGGACGTAACCACAGAGCCTGCGTCCAAGGGTTGCTGTGACGAGTAAATTAAAGAGTCCACGCCAAGTGTCTAGCCCAGCGCCTGGCCCCACCCAGGCCCCAGGGCCTCTGCTCCTACTGTCTGCCCCGCTGAGCACGCCCTCTCCCTGGGCAGACGCTGGTCCACTCCCTCGCCTCCTTCACGTCTCTGCTCCTCTATACCCTCCTCCCCTTAAACTGGCTTCTTTATTTTGTTCACGTCCTGTCTCCTCTACTGCACTGTCCTCTCGGGGAGGCAGTTTCTGTCTGTCCCCTTCTCTCTGCGCCCCAGGGGAGACGCTCAGTAGGTACGTGTGGAATGAACGAATGGTGTTCACTAATATGTCCGCTCTGATCCCGAGGGTAATCCTGCCTCCCCGAAAAAAGAAAACTGTTGTCTTGTTGTTTAAGCAGCTTGAAACAAAAGAATCAAACAAAAGCCTAAATTTAAAAACCCACAGTATTTCCAGCTCAGCCCTAGTCCCCAAAGGGAGCCATCTGCGGAGAAGAGACAGTTCTCAGCGAAATGACGCTACGTGCTCGAAAACATCAACCACCAAAAGTCACCCAGTGCGGGGTGACGTGGCCACCGCCAGGCTCTCAGGAGCAAGAACACAGTGCCAGCCCCGCCGGCGTGGCTCAGTGGTTGAGCGTTGACCTATGAACCAGGAGGTCACGGTTCGATTCCTGGTCAGGGCACATGCCCAGGTGGGCTTGATCTTCAGTAGCGGGTGTGCAGGAGGCAGCCGAGCAATGATGCTCTCTCATCATTGATGTTTCTATCTCTCTCTCCCTCTCCCTCCCTCTCTGAAATCAATAAAAATATATTAAAAAAAAAAAAGAACATAGTGTTACCACGGGAGCCTGGGACCCGATGCCCACCTCAGGACAGAATCGTCCATTCACAGAGAACAGGGAGGTTGGGGGCAGCCAGCCTCCCCGCCACCCCCCACCCCCAGGGCCCCCCCTGCCCCTACTGTCCAGTCGGCAGACGGTCTCCCCAGTGGGACTCGGCTTCCCAGGGCTCTCAGGCCTCAGAGGGAGAAATCGTGACCCCAAGAATCCAGAGTTCAAAAATGAAAAACAAAAAAACAAAAACAACCCTCAAACTCTTCTAAAAATAGGCTCTTTCAATTAGGTCCCCTCTGAGGCGCCACAGCCTTACTCCACAGAAGATTCGCTCGCTGCTTCCCGCGGCCTCCAAGCCCTGGGCGGAGAGAGCCAAAGCCAGCCGTCTCCCAGAGCGTGTGGTTTCAAAAGAGCATAAAGCAAAATCTGCAAGTTTGAGCAAAACCAGAAAGGAGCACCTTCCATCCTATGGTCAGCAGTCTGCGGGCTGGCGGGAACCGGGTGGGCGTGGGGGGCTGAGTCAGGAGGCAGCTCGTCCACGGGTCTCAAATTTCCTCGAATGTCAGGCTCACTCACCTGGCTGGTGAACATGCGGATGGCCGGGTCTCACCCCAATTTCTGAAGTAGTAGGTCTGAGGTGGCACCCTATAATTTACATTTCTAACCCATCCTCAGGGGAAGGGCTAGAGAGAGAACCACTGCTCTAGAACAAATAGTTTCATGTTAGTGTGATACCTGCCTCAACTACACACGGTACCTGCAGACAGACACACACACACACACACACACACACACACACACACACACAGCCTTACAGAGCCCCTGCCTGACCACTGATCCTCAAATAGCCAGACCTGCCTGGCCCAGCCAACTACTGAGGCTCCGCTCAGGGGCACGGGACCTGAGAAAGCTGCTCCCATTCAAATCTGAATGAGCCAGTCACTGTGAGGTCCGAGGGCACACCCAAAACCCTTGAAAACCGAAGTCACAGCATTTCCCTTTTTTGAAAGCAGTCACAAGCGATCCCACCCGGCTTCGCCCTTCACACATGGGTAACCCCCAGCTGCAAGATCCGCTTTCTGCCAGGGATGCTTTCAAGTTTCTGAATCAGAAGAAGTAGCTGAAAGAGGAAGCAAAAAAAAAAAGGACAGGCCACTCGAGAGCTACAGCATCCCTGGTGGCAACCCCATCACCCACTGCGGGCAACTCCATTGGCCTCTCACTCACCAAAGTAATCGGCCTTCGGATGAGCATCCATCTCCTGCTCCAGACGCTGGGTGAGGGCTTCTAATTTCAGCTCGGCAGTCGAGGGCCCAAGCTCGGGACCCGGGGTGAGGGTCTGGCAGGGCAGCCTCACTCTGTGGGGGCTGGGGCTCTCTGGAAGCACAGACCCCAGGCTACCCTCAGAAGACCAGCCAGGGGGACCTTCTTTACAAGATAACTCAAGTGGGGTGGACATCACTGGAGGGACACGGCTGACGGGGCTGAGCTTGGGACCAGTGCCAGGGTCTGTGCAGCCAGGCTTGGGACCCAGCCCAGGGGCGGCATCCAGCTGCAAACTGTCCATGCTGGCTGGCAAAGATGATGGCCCAGAACTAGAAAGGTAGGATTTGGGCCCATCCTGGAACCAGGACTGAGGGTGCGCATTTGGTTTGGGCATCGTGCCTGAAACCTCACTCCGTGCCCCCGAGTTTGTTCTTGGAAGAGCTCCTTGACTGGGGCAGCTCCCTGAAAAAGGGATTCTGGGCTGAGTGGGCCCCAGGAGGGCCCCGTTCTCCAGGCCTGGGGAGGGAAGGCCAGGGCGTGCCCACTGGGAGGAGGCAGTGGTCCAAAGACCCGCTGGCTTCTCACTGCTGCGGCCACCACCACCACCGTCCTGGCCGCTCTCAAACGACCGGCTGGAGCTTGGGGAGAGCTGCGGCTGGTACAGGTAAGGGTCCCTGGCGCGTGTGGGTGGTGATGGGTCACCGCCTGGGGCGCCAGGCCACCCAGTCCCTACACCCAGCCTGATGCCGGGAGCCACTCCTGGTTCTTCACCCCACTTCGGGCTTGCCAAGGAGAGGTTGTCATAATAGTCTCCATGGGTGAGGCAGGAAGGGTCCTCGCAGGGGCTCAGCCCGTGGACGGCGGACATCTCGGAACTGGCCGGGCTCTCCTTGGAACCACAGTCCTGGCTGCCAGGCCTGGGGTGGCCATACGGCCTGGCCTTCTGCTCCTGGGCTGGGTACAAGGGCTGCCCAGCAGCGACAGTGGTGGCTGTCCCAGGAGCTACTGTCGAGGCAGCCAGAGGGGGCTTGGCAGCGCCGTCCATGGTCAGCCTACTGCCCGCACCAGCTTCCCGATGGGCCTGCGGGCCCGGGCGGCCCCCGCCGTTGACAGGCCCTCGGCCAGCCCGGGGCAGGGTCTCCTCCTGCAGAAGCTGCTGCTGCTGCTGCTGAAGGTGGATCTTGGCCATCTTGGTGGCAAACACCCGGCGTGTCTCCTCAAACTCCGGGTTGTTGCCTGCACCCTTGTCCACTCGGAAGAGTCCATCCTTGGAAGCCTCGTACATGTTCAGGTCCTCGATGAATTTACTGGCCTCCAGGCCCAGGTCCTGGTACTTGTCCATGTTGCTGAGGGGTGTGGAGGCCGAGGCCAGGCGCCTGGTAGTGTGTGTGTGTGTGTGTGTGTGTGTGTGTGTGTGTGTGTGTTTTTGAGGGGGGCGGCCAAGAACGGGGGGGGCTCAAGTCCAGCCCAGAACAAGTAACACCCTCCACCTGCCCAAAGTCAGAGTCATGACCCGGGCCTTACAGTCCAGCCCCAGTCGAGGCCTCAAGGCCAGAAGCACCAAGTTCTCCTGCAACTTCTTTTCCCCTCCGAAGTGTCCACGTGGGGGCAGATGGTGGCGCTTCCCGTCCCAGCTTACTCTGCGTTTTCTCTTTTTCAAATCATAAAAGGAAAAAGAAGAGGAAAACAAAAAAAAAGTCACATCCTCTTTAACCAAACTCGGAAACGCACAAGGCAGCAGGCGCGGAAGGGTCCGGGGAGCAGCGGGTTTACCCAGAGCGGAGAGGCCGCCAGACGCGCGGCCGGAGGCGCAGGTACGTCCTGGGCGCTGGGTCCCCGCGGCTTCCCGGGCGGCCGCGGGGCTGGAATCCCGCCCGCGCCGAGCAGGAGCGGCCCCGCGCACCGCCGGCCGGGCGGGGGGAAAGTTTCTCGGCGGCCGGGGCGGGGGGGCTTAATTGTCCGATCGATTCGTGGCGGCGTTTGGGACGCGCGCGGACTGGAGCGCTGGGGAAACGCGGAAAGTAAGCGCGCCGGAACCCCATCCCCTCGCTCGATCGACAGCCCGGAAACATCCCGGTCTTTGCAGGAAGCGGGGT